CCACACTGTGTCTGGGGAACTTGGATAATCCCAGCATTCACTCAGAGAATGTCGTGACCCATTCTGGCAAGGTACCGCCGTTCTCTGCTTTCTTGCTCAGTCATCTGTGTAGCTGAGAGGCTCACCTGAAACACGTCCCAGGCCCTACTGAGCAGAGTGCAGGAGAGCCGCAGCTTTGTCCCAGCTGTACCACGGTCAGGCAGGGTTCAGCTGTCCCTGCTGTGAAGCCTGCTTCCTCACTCTCCTGCCTGCCGCAGGGCAGTGGCATCTTGCCCTTCCAGTCACGGAGCTGGACCGCTCTTTAGAGAGGTGTGGCGGATGGCCCTGGTCTGTGGTGTCATTTATTGGGTGAATATATACATTCCACAGTGCTGTTACATGCTTTCCCCCATTTCTTACATTCTGTCTCTCGGTCTCTTCTCTCATTTTCATGGTGATTTATAGGAGCCTTTAATACAATAATCTAAAAAGTGTGTGGGGGAAGGAAGGGATCGTCTCCTTACTAGGGGAAAAAATATACATTCACCTGCTTCTTTGAAGATTTGACCCAGAAACTGATCATCAGTCAAAGGTCACATGAAGGTCAGAGGCCAGAGAGCAAATGTCTCACTTCTTAGCCTAATGAGCTTTCCCACCCTGACATCCTATCTCCCCAGCTGCATTTTAAGTAACTGCAGAACAAGAGTGTGTTGCTTCTCTTTATGCATGTACTGCCTTGCACAGGCAATGAATACGTAGCTGGAGATTGGTGTTGGCTTCTTAGGTTGCTGTAGTAGCTGCTGAGCTCCCTCTGAATGGCAGTTTCACTAGAAAAGATGGCATCAGGGGACTGGGGCTCCCAACTCTGGTTCACGTGTCTGTTCAGAGAATAATGAATGATATACTGGTGCCCAAAGACTCACTTTGGATCTTGAATGTGGAGATGCCCTGTCCACAAACTTTGGGACACGCAGCTTAAGCTCACCTCCCAGGATCCCCTGAAGCACTCAGATGCCATTCTTGGTCAGAAGTGGGCTAGGTAGCCACCCATAAACACAGCAGGAGATACCCCAGACACTTCTCCCTGGTGTAGATCCTGGGTTTCTCCTTTGTACGAGGCTGATGGACCCTTGGTTTGGCTGCAGGAGTGTCAGTCACAGAGGAAATGAGTGAATGGCTTCACTTAGGGAAGCCTTGTAAGCAAGATGCACAACTGCTTTCTTTAAAAAGAGGAAACAAGATATAATCTTTCCCAGAAGACTAAGGTCATTATTTCTAAAACTAGTCAGCTGTTAGGAGAGCTATGATGTTATCAGGAACATTGGTTGGTTGGTTGGTTGCTTGCTATGTTTTAGGACAGGGTTTTGCTCTGTAGACCAGGTTGGCCTTGAACTCACCACTGTAGCCTGGCTGGCCCTGAACCTGCAGAGATATCCCTACCTTCAGCCTTCCAAGTGCTGGAATTACAGGGACATATAATCACACCCAGCTTCTTATCATGAACTTCTGAGGGATTGTCGTAGTTGGGGTTTCAATTGCTGAGTTCAGACACCATGACCAAAAAGCAAGTTGTGGAGGAAAGGGTTTATTTGGCTTATACTTCCACGTTATAGTCCATCACTGAAGGAAGCCAGGACAGGAACTCAGAGCAGGAACCTGGAGGCAGGAGCTGATGCAGAGGCCACGGAGGGGTGCTGCTGACTGGCTCACTCCTTGTCGTTTGCCCAACCCGCTTTCTTATTGAACCCAGGACCATCAGCCCAGGGATGGCACCACCCACAGTGGGGGTGGTCCACCCCACCCCCACCCCCATCAATCACTAATTAAGAAAATGCCTTACAAGCTTTCCTACAGCACAATCTCATGGGACCATTTTCTTAATTGAGGTTTCCTCCTCTTGCGTGACTTTAGCTTCTGTCAAGTTGACATAAAACTGTCCAGCATAGGGGGTATTTATTCCTACAGTATGTAAATCTGAACCACTGAGGCTGTGGCTAGTTTGATTTCACTTGGGTAAAAATTAGATGTAAGGATGCTTTTATAAAATATCACTTGGCAACGTTTTAAAAGTGGCATATTTGATGGTTTGATTTGTTCTGGTTTTTTGTTTTGTCTGTTTTGGTGGTTTGGTTAAGAATGGCCTCCAAGGCTCATAGAGTCAAATGCATGGTCACCAGGGAGTGGCATTATTTGAAAGAATTAGGAGGTGTGGCCTTGTTTGAGGAAGTATGCCCCTGGAAGTGGGCTTTGAGTTTTCCAAGCTCAGAATCTTTTCTCCTGCTGCCTGCAGTTCCCAATGTAGAATTCTCAGCAGCCTCTCCCCCATCATGTCTGCTTGCATGCTGCCATGCTCCCCGCCGTGATGATAATGGACTAAAGCCTCTGAAACTGTAAGCCAGCCCCAATTAAGTGCTTCCTTTTATGAGTTGCCTTGGTCATTGATTGTGTCTCTTCATCTGTTCAAAATATTTTCATAACAAAACCATGTTGTCTGAAGGACAGCCACCACTTCTATCAAGATGCCAATTTCTAACACCCAAACACCCCCCCCCCCCCCGCCCCCCCCCCCCCCCCCCCCCCCCCCCGGCTTCCTAAGTGGCAACTGCTGACCTCCTAAGGGTAGAAAAACAGGCACCTGTACTTGTCAGGCGTGTGAACAAAAGAAGCAAAAGGTGAGCACAGTGTGATGGCGGGGTCAGGCTCTGTGCTTGTGTTAGGGTAGGAGCAGGAAGGCTTAATACTTGACACCATAGCTTGAATTAGTTCCTAAGTCAGCCATGCTCCTCTTACTGGGCTCAAAGGTCAGGTAATGTGTAAAAGGCCTGCCAAAGCATCCTCTCAGGCCCAGCTGGCTGGCCAACCAAGCCCTCCTCACACCAACGGTTTGCCATAACCATGTTCACAAACCCTTCTAGGAGCCATTGGGAACGAGCATCTCGTTTTAAAGGTTTATTTGAAACTATAGAGGAGAACACTGAGGCTGGCTATTTTACTTTATTAGAAGGTGGGACTTATAAAAATTAAATGTAAGCATCCTTAGTCTTTAGCTTGGGGGATTTTATAAAACCTCCACAAAATTTGTGTATATTTCAGACTCAAGAATCTACCACCCTGGAACCTACTAGAGAGGGATTTCAAACCAGGAAAACATAAGTTCTCTCTGGGTTTGAGTAAACAAACTGTGAATAACAACAGATTGGAGAGTAAAATCAGTTAGTCCCTGAACTCAAGGAACCTTCAAGACAAAATGTAAGATGCTAAATCACTCAGGTCCTGGCTTTACCCAAATATACTTCTCTGGTCACAGAGAAGCCTTTGGCCAATGCCAATGTGAGGTCCAGATCATACTGTTGTACTCAGATGAACTCAGAACCAGCAGCTTTCTGCCCAGGGTATTGCCTGGGAGGGGCCAAAGGCCAGGCAGGTACCTGAGGCCCAGCTGCTGCTCCGTGGTGAGGCTGGCAGCCAAGCCTAGCGCCAGCCTTTTCCAAAGTCATCCTTTGATAACACTGATTACATTTCCCTCACTAGAGCCTGGGGCTGATTAAGCAACAGCCAACTTCTCTGGGTAACAAAGAGGAGGGGAAAGTAATCCAAACACAGGTTTTATTATAAAATCCAGGGAGTGAGAGAAGTATGTTTATTCTGTAAGATAGCACACCTGCTCAGGCCCGAGAGGCTCATTTCCATCAGTTGCCATGGCAAACTCGTTATACTTCAGGGCCATGTGGCTTTGTTTCCTTTTGAAATCTGGTCCTTGTCCTACCTTCTCTAACAACTCCAACACAATGGCATGGGATCCTGCGACAGCATAATTGATTTTTCCTTCTCTCTACCAGCAGTTCACATTTGTTCGGCACAGGCCTGAGTCTGCCTTCCCCTTTGAACTCCTTGCTAACCATGAAGGCATGCTTCAGAAAGCTATCCTCATTAACATTCCAGGTCTCTCTTCCCTGTCAGCAATAACAAAGCCTGCATCAGTGGCCTCCTTCCTCCCCGCTTTACTGAGTGGCTCAGTTCCATGTTTTGCTGCTGATCCAGGTGCCCAGGCAAACAACTCTGGGCTAAGAAGCATGCAGAAAAGAGTAAAAATAGAACAGCAGCTTGGATGCATACCAGAGCAGCTACTTCATCTCCACCAGCTTTGCACACTAAGCCTAATGGGATCCATCAGGCAGGAGTCCTCTCACACTCACCTTCTCCCTCCCTCCTCCCTCCCCTCTCCCCAGCTGCCATCTTCCATCTGCACTTTCCTGGTGAGGGAGCAAAGGGAGGTCAGGCATGGGACAAGGAAGATGTGCCCTGGTGGTTGAGCTTACCAGCCCGAGGAGATCTGGGGGCTGTAATTATGCCTCACAGAAGCTTCTAGAAGAGTCAGCAAGCCCAGAACTTGGTCACCTTTGCCCAGCTACAATGAGAAAAAAAAGCTGGCCCATGCTTCTCATTGTTTAGCCAAGTCTCAACGCTTCCTAAACCATCTGAATAAATGTGATCTAGGCCCACACCCAAAGGTTCCCTGAGAAGGTAAATACAAGTCAGTTACACTGACCATTCCTTTTGCAGATCCCACCTGCTTGGCTTGAGGGAGACACCCAGTCACACATGGTAGACTACGAAAGCTACCTACCTCTCACTATGCGTTTTGTGAGCCTAAAAGCATTCAAGAAAAAAAAATGAAGAGTTGGTTTGAAGTTAGGAACATGATCTCCTGCTTGGATACAGGTCTCCCAGAATGCTGACTGTACTGACTGGATTCTTTTGTGCTGTTTTATGCCTCCTGGTGAATTGTACTGTACCTGCAGCCAGCCCCAACCCCCTCCTAAACAGCTTCAGCCTTCCAACCACCACTTTGGTAGCATCGGAAGGATTCGAGAAAGAGGAGTTTCACGGCATTTAAAGAATAAAAACATTTTAAAAAAACTATTGATGTTTTGGAGTTTGAAAACACACACACACACACACACACACACACACACACACACACACACACACGCACACACACCTTCAAAAGAAATTGATCTAACTGCAGATGTTTGTCTTTAAGCTTCAGGAAGGTATTGAGGATTTTTAAGTTGGCTTAGGGCTCACAAAAAACCACTACAAAATAAATATGCCAAACCACTTCCAGAAGAGTGATTCCATATCATCACAGCAATAATTAATTCCCCAAAGAGGCTCTCCCAGCACAAGTTCTGGCATGATCTTTACTCTCCCAGCCCCCAGAGGATGGAGGTAATGTTCCCTCAGGCCTCCCATGTTCAGGAGGCCATGTTTACTTCAGGGTGGAACTGGGTCATAAGTCTCCCAGTAAAATCCAGAAAGTTCCATAGGCTCACAGCCTTGAAGCGATATCACTGGGGTTGTAGCCCTGGAGTGAACTTGACAAATCAGTTTCTTTGGGTCCTGCTTCCTTCCTACAGAAAACAAAGCCACAGGGTCCCTTTCAGACTAAAAATTCCATGACAGAAATAAATGACTTAAAATGTCACTATTTTGCTGCTTTTATTCTTTCTTGCCTTTTGTTTGTTGTTGGGTTATCTCATCTAGAGCTATCGGTGCTGAAAAATAGCACAAGAGTCTCTGTGGTCAGAGGTGTGGCTTCTTGTGATGTTTTCCCACAGTGTAATCTGCTTTCTGATTTCATCTGCTGCTAGGAGAGGGTCTCACAGAGTCTTCTCAGCACACCAAAGAGAAAGATCCTGTGGTTTGAAAGACTCGTTCTGGCTCATTTCAGTGATCATAGAACTTTGCAATCCATTTGGCAAAGGTGATGGTGACAGAGTGGATTTTGGCAAAGTGGGTATGGTAGCTGATGAAGAGGCTGGATTAGGAAAAGTGCTCTCGGCAAAACATCCTAAAATAAGGATGGAAAGTTCAGAATGGAGCACTTTCATCTCCTGTTGAGATGACTAAGACAACTCAAGTCTTTCCGGGGGTGGCTTGTTTAATGGGAAAGAGGGAAGAGTGTCTCCAGCAGTGATTCTTCTGAGCACTGAGCTGAGGAAAAGTCAGGCCAATACTTTGATTGTAGCCCTGTGGGGAGACATCTTTGAACTATATAGAAGTTACACTAGACAGGCAAGTATTTTGAAAGCCAGTCACTTAAATTAAAATTAGGCACTAAATATCAGAAAATAGTCTAAATCTATACTTAGTACATCCCCAAATTGGTTTATGTATGACTAAAGTCACGAGGCTACAAAGTTATTTTTTACCAAGTCAGCCCGATCCTATTTCTAAACCCTCAAAACATCCACAAATAGATACACAAGGACCAGGATCCTATTTAAATAAACCAGGTGTTAATCTGAGTATCAGTGTTCTAAAATAATTGTTAAAAATGCCTTTGCTGGTGGTGGTCATCATATTTCATAGACACTTCAGAGCCAAGTTGTCATCTCTGGATGAATCCAGTAGAAGAGCGAGCGCGCACGCACATGCACACACATGCACACACACACACACACACACACACACACACACACACACACTTTTGGGTGTTCGGTTGGTTGTTTGGCTGGCTTACATTTTGCTTGTTTTGCTACCAATTGTAACATTTTAAGGACTGATGGTGGCACACCGGGGACCTTTAACCACCTGGGACAGGAAGAATAGAAGGAACTATTGGCTGAATGCTCTGGAAGTCTCTCAAGTGGGGGGAGGTTAATAACATTACATTACTAAATCTTTGCAAGCTGGAAACATTTCAAAGAACTAATTGCTGAGCTATTTCTACAGATGTTGAATCCTCAGTAATGGTCTCACCTCAAACCAAAACAAGAATGAAAAGTTGGTGTTTGGAATGTTTTCCAGGAATTCAGAGTTGGCCAAACAAGAAAACTCTACCAGATCTAAAATGCCATCGAAGTCATTATTATTGCCATAAAGTCATACAAATGAGCAATTAAATTATGCACGTTTTTTTCTTTTTTAAAGTATTTACTCAGTGGACATGTTGGACATAAAGTAGTTAAACTGTATTCTTTACAATTCATTAGCAATTTTTCTTTTTTGTAGCTAAAGAGTATTTGTCTTTCTCTATAATGACATTTGAGGCATAACTATCTCATAGCAAAGTTGAAACTTGTTTACCAGATGAGGCAAAAAAAGGAAGTAATAGTTCTCACCACCCAAGCATCTTTTTTATTGATCTTTTTTTGTTGAACAAGGGTTCAACAGTTCATTTAGCTATCACACACACACACACACACACACACACACACACACACACGCTTTATAAATGGCTGTGTCATTTCTTTGGAGACTAAATAAGTCCAAATTATTGAGTTGAGTGTATTGTTGAAGACATTTTTAGAAGAAGAGAGTGTACCAGAGACCTAGGGAGGTGGCTCATGTTAGAGCATGCCCAGGGCGCCAGATTCAGTCTTCAGTACTGGGGTCTGGGAGGAGCAAGTTCCATCAGACACATTGATGCATGCTTATAATTGCCAACACTCAGGAAGTAGAGGCAGCAGGATTACACATTACAAGCCAGTCAGGCCTAAGCAGTTATAGGGCAGCCTGAACTACACAGTAAGACTCTTTTCTAAATAATCAGCAAAAACCATTAAGGTGTGGTTTTTGTTATTATGAATCAAATTTTTTCCTGTTTTTTAAAAAACTGGTTAAATTTTCATTTAAAAAAGAAAATCTGGTCCAGTGTGGTGGTTTCAGTGAGAACAGCTCCAAATTCATAGATTGGAATGTCTGGTTCTCAGTTGGTGAGCTGTTTAGGAACTGTTTAGGAAGGATTAGGAGGTGTGGCCTTGTTGAAGAAGGTGTGTCACTGCAGGTAGGCTTTGAGGTTTCAAAAGCCAATTCCAGGGCCCAGTCTCCCTCCCTCTCTGCCTCCATCTTGCCGATAAGACGTAAGATCCTAGCTACTACACCAGCACCATGCCTGCCTGCCTGCCGCCACACTCCCTGCCATGATAATCACGGACTCACCCTCTGAAACTGTAAGCAAACCCCCAGTTAAATGCTTTCTTTTAATCACAGCCTTGGTCATGACATCTCACAGCAGTGGAATAGGAATGAAGACACTAAGCATGCTGGTGTACACCTGTAATCCTAGCACTTAGAGGGCCAAGGCAGGAGGATCGATGTAAGATCGAGACTGTCCTACTCTATATATTGAGTTCTGGGCCAGCCAGAACTATATAGTGAGATCCTTTCTCCAAAAAACAAAACATAAATAAAAAGTAAAATTAAATGTATCCCCTGGGAGATGTGACTGTAAGAAATAAACAATTACTTCTCAAAAGAAAATTGAGCATTTAGGTCCCAGATTTCAGACCTTCTAGGTTCATTAGAAATCACTTGGTCCATATGATGTACCCAAGGTCTCAGAAAAGTGGAAAGACTTGCTTTAGTCGCAGGTGCTTAGGAGTAGGACCGAGACTAGAAAACTAGACCACAACTCTGGCCTGTGTGACACACCCCTGTTACTTCATGCATAGACTCAGGTATTTTTTTACATAAATGGTCAGACTTTTTCTCTCTCTCTTTTTTTCCCCCCAAGACAGGCTTTCTCTGTGTAGCCCTAGCTGTCCTGGATCACAGAGCTCCCCCTGCCTGTGCCTCCCAAGTTCTGGGTTAAAGGTGTGCCACCAACACTCAGCCCTTTTCCTCTTCTTGCAGTCCTGGGAGTTGCCAATGTCCAACCACTGAGCCACACTCCCCGCCCCATTACACTGTTGACAATCAGCGTTGTTCTGTTAAAAACCTCAACTGTAAGAGTAAACCTTTTATAGTTACATAAAATGGGTATTTAACGTTCTGATTCTAATCCTTTAATACAGAGAACTCTGTCACCTTTATCTATACTATATCTAAGCAGTTTTGTTGATGTCCCACACCTGTCCATTTCAATATAAATTAATAGGACTGTCTCCATTCAGATAAATGAAACACATTCTTACAAAGAGCAATCGTTTTATTATTTGGATGTGAGTCAGATTGGCCTAAAACGCAGCTGAAGTGATGAGCGTTCTGGTGGTTACAGGTGTGTGCTGCCATCAGCTGTAGTATCCACTCGCTGAAAGTACTGGAAGCCCAAGGTGGGCAACTCAGACTCAGGAGGACACGGGCACCTTGTGTGTTTTGTAAAAGGCAAGAAATACAGAGCAGCCAAGTATTAGGAGGCAGAGAACTCTGCAGAAGAGGTGTTCTGGGGCCTGAATCCCCCTAGAAGACACAGAAACAGGCCCGGGTGCCACCAACCAGTCTCGGCTAGAAGAATGCTGTGAGAACAGGACTGCACTGAGCTGGAGATGGCTGGTGTCACAAGGGCACCACCTGAAGGGTGGGCAGAGGACCTCGGGGAGGAGCCACATACTCTTCCTCTCGCAGCAGCCGCAGCAGGATGTTTTTCTTATTCTTGGGCCAGCTGTAAACATGAGTGTTCTGAAGCCAGGTGGGCACGTGCTCCTGTGGGAGAGAGGACAGGAGCAAAGGTCACAGGAGAGAAGCCTGGATTCCGGATCCGGGGCTCAGTTCCGAACAGTTCTGCCTTGCCCTTCACAGGCGTTCCCACCAGGCTGTCTTGGGAGCTGCTGTTTTGCTTTTGGAGGGTTTAACACACAGAGCACTTTTGGCTTCGGGTGCAAGCTGTGTATCTCATTATGGAAACCACATGTGCACAGCTTTTTCTGTCAGTCTCCCAGGCTACCTGCCCTTTGCATGTCAACGTGCTTTTCACCACCTTCACATGAAAGGGGTGGGACAGAGGTCATACCGAATGATGTGAATTCCCCTGTGGCTTTGGGGGAAGGATGCCAGCGTTGTGGGCTTAATAGAATTCATGATTCTTTCACTCCAGCCTCAGGTCTGGCCTGAAGTGGAAGGAGCGGAACAGATCTCAGAACCGTGAGGCTGGGGTTCCACGGGCCAGTGTCAGCCACCCTCAGGACCACCCTCAGGACTGCCCTTGTGGAGCACATATATTCTGGTGGGGAAAGGCAATGATAACCTCAACAGCAACACAGAAAGGACATGGGGAATGCTGGGGTAGAAGGGAAACGTTTGCAGCATTTGAGAGCGTGCTTAGGAGAAGACACACAGGCTTGGAAATTGCTAGGCATGTTCAAAAGCAACCAGGTCACAGTGGCGGCAAACGGAACAAGTGACAGCGAATAGGTGAAGAGGGCCAGAACTGGAGGGGCTGTGGCAGAGGACCGGGGACCACTGAAGGCCTTTGGTTTTCACGGTGAGATGAGCTGCTTTGGGGATTGTGGCACAGGTTCAGAACCGGCACCCGTGTTGAGTGCAGAAGGCAGCCAATGAGAAGGCACAGTGACTGTCTTGAGGAGTGAAAAACCCCACATGGGGGCAAAACCAGCATAACTGTTTTCTAGGTAACAGCATACCAAGGAGCCGCCATGTCCCAACCTCTGGATGCATTACACAGGCATGGGGAGAGGAGACCCTCACATGCTAGAGAGGTTGCAAGGATCCAAGGATAGGCAAGAGTTCACTAGGCCAACAGGTTGGGGAAGGGCATCATAGGGAGAGGGAACAGAGGGGCAAAGACGCCTAGACAGAAAGAACACAGGGGAGCTGACATGGCCCGCTAGGGCCAAAGCAGAGGCACCAGGTGAGAAGGAGGAAAACGAGTAAGTGGACACAGTCCTATTCCAAAGAGCCTCATGGGTCATGCTAAGGAAGGTAGCCAGTGTCTTGAAGTCAGGGGGAAAACGTCACAGAATTTTGGAACTAGAGAGATACACATTGCAGTTCTTTGCTGGCAAAGTGGAAGGTGGCTAGTACAGGGTCCCAGAGGAAATGGGGAGACCAGTAAAGAGATTTGCCAGTCAGTGATTGCATTTAATCCCCGGACAAGTTAGGGCCAGAGAGAATAAGGGGTCCTTTCATATGCATTGTGCACTGCCCAACCCTGGGTGTCCCATTCACATAGATTGGGCTGTCCCTACTGGGGGGCAGAGGTTTCAATGCAGTCCTGACATCTAGGAATACTCCAGAATGAGGCTGCATCTGAGCGCAGAGTGCTCTGGTCTGAGTCTCCAACTGTTTACTTAGCTGCTGTCTTCCCTTTGCCAGGCCTGGAAAGTGTTCTCTAGTGGCTTGACTTACATTCTCTAAAGCTGTCTGCATACCCTTTGGAATATGATCAAAACCCTCATGTGAATCCCAGCAAGGTTCACTTAGAGTGCTGTGTGGATTCAGTGCCTGTACTCCGCAGGTTGTGAAAACGGAACTGTGTGCAACAAAATATTTATGTGAAGCAGAAAGCAAAGTCTCCACACTTTGGCTCTAAGATGTGAGAGGTAAGAAGCATCAGATGATAAATGCCCTCTTACTCTTAGGCATTTGAATACTCGATCCCCAGTTGGTGATGCTATTTGGAGGGATGGCCTGGCTAGAGGAAGCGTATCACTTGAAGTGGGCTTTGGGGTTTCAAAAGCCACTCCTGTCTGTCACTGGGGATGTGAGCCTTCAGCTCTCAGCTCCCAGTTCTAGATGTCACACTTGCCTGCTGCCACACTAACCTGCCATGATGGTGATGGATCTTATCCCTCTAGAACCACAAACCCCAAATCAACCCTTCCTTCTATAAGCTGCTTGCTCATGGTGTTTTATCACAGCAATAGAAAAGTAATTAAGCATTGGGCGGTGGTGGCGCACGCCTTTAATCCCAGCACTGGGAGGCAGAGCCAGGCAGATCTCTGTGAGTTCGAGGTCAGCCTGGTCTACAGAGCGAGATCCAGGACAGGCACCAAAACTACACAGAGAAACCCTGTCTTGAAAAAACACACAAAAAAAGTAATTAAGCATAAACCATCCTTTGTGTACACAGACTGAACAATTAGGACAGCCATGATTCTACCAGATAACACTTGCAGATCTTTCCTACGCCTACTGCGAGGCCAATGTACAACCTTTTGATCTCTCTGGTAATACTGTTATCTCTGAGGACTGTCAAAGAGTTGACAAGATTTTCAATCTAAAATCCCAGGTAGCCATCAAACCAAATTTGAAAACAAAGACAGAATTATTTGAGGATCTTGTTGTTTGTTTGTTTACCTTCTTGGCATTTGGGAAGAGCACAGGGATGAATCTGAAATTCATGCTTCCTTGATTTATGAACTCGATCTGCATCTAAAAATCAAACAAATATGAAATTAAGTCATCTAGGAGCAAAGATGAGAAGTTGATGTGTCAATAATACTGCCAGCCCACATGGCAACTTTCTTCTTCTGGGTTGTTTATTTGAGTGCCATATTACTTACATTTTTAAGCTCTCCCCATTACATACTATGCCACTTTGCTTGTATAGAACACTATGATGGCTATTCTAGTTTGTCAACTTGACTACATCTGGAATTAACTAAAACCCAAACTGGCTGCACACACCTGTGAGGGATTTTTGCTTAATTAAATCATTTGAAGTGGGAAGATTCACTTCTAATCTGGATCTTTGAAGTGGGAAGGCACACCTTTAATCCAGATCTTTTGAAGGAGGAAGACCCACCTCTAATCTGGGCCACACCTTCTGCTGGAAGCCTGTATAAATGGAAGAAGGAAGCATCTCTCTTTGCTTTCACTCTCCTTAGCACATCCTTTACTGGATTAGAGCCTACAGATTCCGCTGTATACTGAGGACCAGCTGAGACATCTGGCTTCCTGGACTGAATAACTACTGGATTAGTGAACTTTCCATTGGTAGACAGCATTGTTGGACTAGCTGGACCACAGCATTTAAGCCATTCTAACAAATACTTCTCTCTCTCTTTCTCCATATATATATATATAGTGTGTGTGTGTGTGTGTGTGAATTTATATGTGTGTGTGTGTATGTGTGTGTGTCTGTGTGTGTATGTAAGTTCTGTAAGTTCTGTTCCTCTAGAGAACCCTGAGTAGTACAACCACTTATTGACGGCCTGTTAAAAACCACATTCTAGGCATCAGAAAGCTGGCTTAGAGGTACAGATGTTTGCTGCCTTGCCTGACAAGCTAAGTTCTATCCCTGGAGCCCACACGGTGGAAGGAGAGAACTGACTCCTGCAAATTCTCCTCTGACCTCCACTTTAGTGACAAATTCATGTGCATGTGTACACATGTGCACATGCATACACATACACAGAATGAATGAATGAATGAATGAATGAATAAATAAATAAATAAAGATTTTAAGTTATATCTGGCCAGGACCCTGAATTTCTTTGTTGATTTGGTGGTTGGGTTTCTTTGAGTCAGGGTCTCATGTGTAGCCTAGACTAGCCTGGAACTCACTGTGTTGCTCAGATTGGGTTTGAACTCACAGCAGTCCTCCTTTGTCAGCTGCCTGAGTGTTGACTTTGGGTTTTGAGGAATAGGAGTGTGCAGGGGCTGGGCCTGAGAGCAGGCTATTGTGTCTCTCCCAGTTCTGTAGTCAATAATACAATTAGCTTTCAATGGCCACGTATGGGAGTATTTATAAATTTATATTATGGAAATGAGTGAAACGCTAAAACCCAGGATTTTTTTTTTTTTTTGAGAGCCTGTTTAGCAGAGTACCTCTGATGTAATTTGGACAATCCTCCCAGAGCCAGCAACTAATGAGCAAGCAGGAAGGAAAATTACCAAGCAGAGGACAATGTGCAGAGTGTGAACAACTGCTGTGGAGGCTCAGGATGGGGCTCTCTGTTCTGCTTCAGGGAGTGTGGAGGACAGTGACAGGGGAGGGGTCCCTGGGCTGAAGAAGAGTCTGGTCAGGTAAAGGAAAATGGGGAGAAGGCGTGGGCAGAGGCATGAGCGCCTGCAGAGGAGGAAGTGTGGTAAGGTGACTGGAACCGTCTAGCAATCCACTTCTGGAGCCCAGATGGCGGAGGGGGCTAGGAAATCGGCCAGGAAGAGCCCAGTCTGTCAGGCCTGAGGTTCCTCACCAGATCAATCAGGTTTCACACTCTGGTCACCCAAGAGGATTTAGCTACAAGAACTCTATCAAAATCAGAATTTTCAATATCGGGGAGTTAGAGTCCTCCAACTCCCAAGACTGTCACGGAGCGTTCAGCTGGCTGGTGGTGAGGAGAACAAGGAATTACGTCTCCTGAACAATTTCACCTTCCAGCTGATTTTTATAACTGCGAAGCTTTTGTTGTGCGTGGAAATAAAAACAAGAAGAAAGTGGATGTGGAAATACAGACAACCCTCTCCCCAACTCCCACTCTCACAGACACGCAACACAGACCTACCACAGGGGGCTTTCTCAGAGTCATCTCCCTTCAAAACACAGACGACAAAACCAAAAGCATGTGCTGTATTGACCAGAGCACTGTGCAATTCAAGTACTAACCATGCTATTGCAGAGTAAGCACCTATGGGGAAGGGCATGGGGTCTGTTAAGATAAAAGGAGAGAAAAAAGAGAGGAAAAAAAAGATAAAAGTCGAGCTGGGTTTCATGTCTGACTTCCAGGGCACTGTGTACTATTTGGTTTGTCCACTAGGCTCCCCAGTCTGTCAAGGACTAGCCCTCAGCAGTATCCTTTTATTTTCTCTCCTACTTTCTCTGAGATACTGGCTTTCTAATGAGGTTGCTTGATGGAATTACTCATTGGTGTCTGGAGGAAGCCACGAAGTCAGCCCAGGGGTAGGGAGATTTGGAGACCACATGGTTATAGCTGGCACCATCCTCCAAACTCGGGTTGAACTGTGTGTATTACTGGATGGCCTTGCCATACACCAGCACAACTAAGCAGGTTTCCCCAGGAACTGGTAGGGACCTGGAGTCCTTCCCAAGTATCAGCTGCTTGGCTCCTGGGACTGACAGGTTCTTAGAGATAGACAGAATATCAATGTTCTGGGAATGTCCAGACATGATACAGACAGCTAAGAACCCTTGGTTAGGAGCACCCAGAACCAGTCATGACCTTTATAGATAAGTTTATTTCTAGGAGTGCTATTTTTCAGGATCCTGACCACAGGCTAGCACTAGGTAAGACCGGATAGGAGGCAGACTTAGCTCCAGACCCTTGGCCTGACCCCTGAATCTTGCCACCTTTCTTAGCTTCTGCTTTGGGTTTTGAGCTCAACAAGTGGTCCACATTTGGTGGAATCGGTAATGGAGATCTTGGAGACCCAGATGATGAGGATGCTGCTTCCACGGCTACCCTGCCCTCTTGGGATGCTCTGGACCACAGGGCGGATAGCATTTAACTTGGCTTCCTCTGAGGTAAAGGTGTCCTGAGACTGCTGGCCGCTTCCTGCCCTGTGCTGCGTAGTCCTTGCATCTGGGCCACTTCCAGTGATACATTATTCCACATCCCCACACAGGGTAAGAACTGATGTTGGGATTAAGAGTTCAAGTCCAGTGATTTCCCTACTTTCTCAAATCTCAGGATCCTCGGTAAATAAACAAGCCAGAGAAACCAGCTCTAGTTTTTGGGAAGCTCAGGACCAGTCCCACCCTTAGACATATAGGCACCTACTAGGGATTCCGCAGGACAGTTTGAAGGTCACAGATCTAGCCTGGCTGCTAGCTAAACAGAAATGGTCTCCACAGTATCTCTAAAGCCACAAAGGACAAGAAGTCAGCTAGGCCATAAAACAGCTCGTTCTAAGGCTGGGCAGTAGTTTCAGATGCTGAGCAAGTTGATTCCTTCTAAATCTTCCCCATGGGTTAAGTTTAACCAGGCCCCATAGTATAGGTTTGGCAGTTGAATGCTTCCTACCTACCACAAACTAAGAACAGTCTCTCTGGTTAAGTGTTTTCTATGTGCCAGATACTTCAAACATTACTTCATTTATCTTCACAGAATTGTACATACTAGTGATCCATGTTATGAACAGGGTTGTAGAAGGGCAACATTCAAGTATGTGGGCCATGGGCATATAGCCTGTACTTGGGAAACTAATGTGACCCAGGCTTTTGTGGTATGACAGAAGTGTCCTTCTCATTCTGCACCTTGCTTCTCTGAAAAACCCAGGGACAGAATGTAACAGCTACAGTAACCTACTCACCTCACTGCTCCCTCTTCTACCCTCCTAAGGTTTCACATTTGTTGGTAAACAGCCAAGTGAGCAAAGCTCTGCTTTCTAGAACCTTGATTGACATCTCTTAGTTACTGACAGGACCAGATGAGTACTAGGCAGAGGAGTGGTGTTTCTCCATGGGTCTCAGAGTGTACAGAGCCATAACCAAAACAATGTCTCCTGACTTGGGGGGCCAGAGACTCTTCCCCTAACACCCTGCCACCTTCAGTGAAAAGCATCCTCCCTGGAGAAGGTCCCGGTTCCAGAGGGGCAGCCAGGCACTGTGATACCCTCAGCACTCACCATTCGATGGATGTACTTAGTATGTAAGCCATGCTCATCGTCGTCCAGCTGCGACTCAGCGCCTTCCACATCCTGTTTGTATTTGGGACTGATTGCTACAATTATCATCACTGTCTTCTGTTAATGAGAAGGAGAAAAGCATGTTTATGGAAGTGGGAAGTGTGGTTCATTTGGTGAAGACCAGCTGGAAAGTGGCCAGCAGGACCATAGGCGGTCCCTGACCTGCTGGCGGGTACAGGGCCAATCCCTCTCTCTCTGAAATCGGAAGGCACCAGCCCCCACGCAGGCATGCTGTCATCTTCGCTCCTCCCCGTTGCCTCCATGCCCAGCACCCCACAAACACACAGAGCAAAGGCTCTGAGAGGAATTCTCCCATCTTCCACAACCTTCGCTAGGAGACGTCTAGTGAAAGCCTAAATCAGCGAATCTGCGTGGAGGCGGCAGAAAGGCACTACCACCGCCCGCACAGGAAAGTGCCTTTCCTCCCTGCAGCCCGACGCGAGCTGCCAGTCACTCTGCTCCTCCACTGCCCTGCTTTTCCTGTGCACATTAGCACAGTCAGGAGGAGCAGACCCTTCAGCACAAAGCAAACACCAGGCTGCAGCGGACAAAAGGAAAGCCAAGACCCAGCCTGCTGAGACTCCCACCCCACACCCACTCCTGCCCGAAGAAGCAGCCGGACGCGGACATGCTGGCAGCAATCCATTTCTGTCTTGTTAAAGCACAAGGTGTCCCAGTGGCCAGTATAGATTTTGTCTGTGGAAAACGAATCACAGGGCTGCAAGTAGGTGCCCTGGGGTGGCAGGCTGAAGAAACCTCTTTAGCCCAGCCCTACAGAAACACTTGGAAAGGCCCCAAATTCAACTGGATTCTGCCCCGCCCCCCAGCGCCTTCATTTCCTCCTTTCCTATTCTGCTCTAGAAATTGTTTGCACTGATTGTTATCAACCACCTGTGTCTGGTTTGACCGTTATTTCCTGCCTCTGCGTGTCCAGGAGGGCGACCCCATCCTTCCTTTCCAAGTCTTTCCATGGCTTCCAACAAGAGAGGCTTTGTCAGACTTCCTCAGGCTCAGACTCTGGGAGAGCATCAGGGTTTCTTCTGTGAAATTGCTTCACAAGCTAATTGTTTTTTCTCGCCGGCACACATCCTCAGAATTTAGGAATATACTTACATCTCGGAGGTAGCGCTCCATCCATTTGATGATATCAATACCCCGGATTCTATCCTCAAATATGTCAATCTGCAGGGAAAGGATAAGAGGAGGCGTTCTTAATGAGGGTCTTCCCTGGGTGCAGAGCTCAAGAAAACACAAGAAGGGACACACCCCTGTAACCCTAGACTAGTGCTCTGTATAAGGTGGAGTGCGTGAGTCCACACCCCTGCAACCCTAGACTAGTGCTCTGTATAAGGTGGAGTGTGTGAGTCCAAACAATGGAATACAAGTGTCAGGAAATAAGCCCTATTTCAGCATTTGTAGACATTTAAGTTTATAATATCCATAATTAGGATATAGTGATTCATATCAAAATGTGTCTGCAGCCATACAATAATTTTATGTTAAAAAAAATCTGAAGGACATAGTATATTACTAAATTGGATCTTAGCCAGGAAGGCAGAAAATAGTACATTGCTGTGTCTGTAATTTGAAAAATTGAAAGGCAGATTCTAAAACTTCAGTGGATATGTAGTGTGCAAATGCTGAGACACAACTGTGGTGTGTGACCTGGGTTAGTCGGGTCATGATTACAGCATTATGTCCAGCTTCAATTACCCATTTCAAAAGGATTGTATGAAACTTGGGTGTAATCCAAAGAACAGTCACAAAAACAATTACTGAGCTGGTAAGGAGGGGCTAAGGGTGAAGTCAAGGAGAACTCTGGGGCTTTGATAAGACTCAGATTATTATTATTAGGTAATAGTCCTTTAGGTATCAGAAGTGCAGAAAAATCTAATCATTTGTGTTATAGAAGGCCCAAATCTCAATCTCAATCTCCCCCCCATCCCCGATCTAATCTATGTGTGTGTCTCTCTCTCTCCTGAGTGTGCGTGTGACGTATACAAGGCGCTCCTGACGGGAAGAGGGACAATCTAATATAGTAGCGTAGGTGACATCCGGAGAAGGTCTTTGGGGAAACCGGGTTATCTGATCAGCCTCCCTGCACCCATGGTGGTTATCCTAGGGTTACCCTGCTGTTCAGAACTGACCAAACCAGTCTCAACTCTTCATCAAGCGTCCTGAGGCAGCGACTATCTTTCCCCACATGCTCTGTCTACTCCACTCCCCGCATTAGTTCCCTTGTACCCTAACAGCACAGCAGACACCCCTCCGCTCTGTAAGTCACACTGACTTCCCCTTCGCATCAGCTAATTCTCACCCATTTTGGCCACTAGTAGCAAACACATTATAACATTCTTGCATTTACTCAGTGTCTCATTTATGACCTCTTCATCTTCATATCCTGCTTCTAAGTCCCCTATAGAAAGAGACTATGTGTTTACTTAACTGTCATGTCTATAGAGTACATAATACAAACTTGGAATGTATTCCTTTACTGATAGAACATTTAAAAAATGGAATAGCTTTCCTTTGGGTTGGATGATTTTTTTTTTTCTAAGACAAGGTCTCACTGTTGCTCTGGCTGGCCTAGAACTTGCTATGTAGACCAGGCTGGCCTTGAACTCATGGAGATCCACTTGTCTCTGCCTCAAGGCTGCTGGAACTTAAGGCGTGCGCCACCAAGCTAAGCTTGATTTATGTGTTAACATCAGCATGTTGTCATGTGCCTGCTATTCCAGTACTCAGGAAGCTAAAGCAGGAGTTTTGAGAGTTTGTGGCTAAACAGGTCTACACTGAAAAATGTCTCAAAAAGTGAAAACAAACAGCAAGATAATGACGTCTGTTCTGGCTAAAGACTGCACCAATCTGTGATGATGCCAGTAATCCATTCCATTTCACACTGGGGATGGGCAGCTTGGGTTCTGCTCCCAGTTCTGCTGCTTTTCACCTTCCTGTGGTTATGACGGAATTTAATAACAACACAGAAAAGACATATATCATGATGCCAGATGTGATGTTAGCACACCATAAACGGTCCTTACTGTCCGTCACAGAAGTTGTTCCCTGCTACAGAGACAGACATTCTGGGCGGTGTCTGCCTCTCTAGAGTTCCATCAGAGTCTGCTGCACCTGTCAGGACAAGTTTTCTACACTGTGGCTGCCATGAGCTAATTGTGTCCCTCAAATGTATATGTTAGCTGGAGGTGGTGGCTTACACTTGTGATCTCACCACTTAGGAGGTTGACAGAGGGGAATTGTCAGCTTGGGCCATAAAGCGAGATCCTATCTCAAAAAAATAAAATGAGAATTAAGTTTTGGAAACTTTCCCATTACCTCCTAATGTGACTGGATTTGGAGACAGGGCCTCTCAGAAGATATTCAGGTAAAAGGAGGTGCTGGGTGAGCCCCACTCCCATAGGATTGGTGTTCATGGAAGAAGAGAGAATTAGTACATGGGTCTGTGGACACACAGGGGAGGGACCAGGTGAGAACAGAGAGGATGGCCACCTCAAGCCAAAGGAGAGGATCCCAGATGAAACCAACCTTGTTTCAACTGTGTTCTTGGCCTTCCAGCCTCCAGAATTGTTGAAACTGAGCTTCTGCCTAAGCACCCTATCTAGAGTATCTTATGGCTGACTTACACAGCCACCCTCTTCAGGTTCCAGGCTCCTTTAGTGTCTCTTTAGTGACTGTGTCCTGATAGCGGTGGGACATGACACTCTTCCCTAAGATTTCCTAAAACCTACCTAAACCTTTATGCTGTTTTTTTAAATTAAACTCTCCTTAAATTACTCATTGTTTCATTTCACTGAGAGGATCCCGATGTATCGGTTGTAACCCATAGCTGTTCACAAACACAGGCTTTGGAGGATAAGGGTCAAGGGCACATTTAAATTCCCCCTGAACTGCCCCTGACTCGGGGCTTTTTTAAGGTTAAAAACCCTGGCTATTCTCCAGGGGCAGTCAGAATCTGTATGTTTACATTTGGAAAGGAGAAAGTAAGATCTTGTATGTTTCCTCATGTCTCATGATTTGATTTTTATGTCACAGTTGCCCCAGCACTGCCTTATTCTGGAAATGAGAAAGTGAAATGTTAGTCTATAGGGATGTGAAGTCGAACTTCATAAATTGTAAGCATCTTTGAAAAAAAAATAGACACTTCTATTTATAGGAAGTATTATAGGAAAAAACATTCAAATAAAAACTACTGAACAATGCTAACCACCTCTTTATTCTTTAATATGTAGGTATTCCTCTTTAGCCTCCAACATCCATATTTCACTGATTTTTCACTCTCCTCTGGAATTCACTGCTGCTGAATGTCTAGGAGAGGCTTCTGGGAAGGAGGTAATCTTAATGTTTGAGGAAAGCCAGCCCTCCGAGTAGCAACCTGTGGTATTTTGTTTATCTTAAGGAAGAATGTTCATGGCTTTAAGCTGTGTTGTTTCAGGGGTTGGCGGGGAGACAGAAAGATTATGTGCTTGAGAATTTTGGGCCCAAGATCACAATGGACCTACAGGGGTGAAGTGGGGCCATCTCTCCTAGACAGAGACGAGGCCATGTCTTCCCTGTCCAGAAACCACTCCTGAAACAAGGTGTAGATGGGAAGCTGTGTGTAGTGGGGTCCCAGGGTTCTATTTCAGACCTCACAATCCAGTATAGAGCAGAGGGTCTGGCTTGGTAAAAAACCACCTCGGTGAGCTTGCAGCCTTCTTTACCACAGATGACATGTTGGTGGGTGTGGCTGGTGAGCAAGGGCAAAGGCAGAGGGTACAGCAAAAGCCAGGCCTTCCCTTCAGCTAGGACCAGCAGGACCAACAGTGGAAATTAGCACTGTGGATGTTTGGAGGAAAAATGTTGGAGACTTTGGGTAGTTTAAAATGTGGTGGAATACTTGTCTAGTGTGAGTGAGGCCCTGGCCTTGAATCCTAGCACCAAATAAATAAATAGGTACCCAGAGTTTAATTATCCAAATCCATACACAATTAGCTCATGATCACATAAATAAAAAATCAACTGTTCATACTTTATTATCATCATCACCATCGTCATCATCATTATTACTATGTTCAACCGAACTGTTCAGTTTTCTCTTTGAATAAAATACTTACTGCGGTTTGGAAGCCATTCACCAACAAAAAGTTCACAAATTTTACCACCTCCATGGCTGTGTCCATAGAATAAGTGATAAAGACTTTCCCTAAGAGAGAAATGTCAGAGTTGTTGAAACTAATCAAATTAATCTGTGGTACACAGCACTTCTAAGTAGTATGCATTGCCCTTTGTGTTGGAGGGTGGCCTAAGGGCTTCTGCCTGCAGTGGTGTGGATTGCTGTCCTCTGTGACAAGGGCTGGGACCTGTCCAAGACAGAAGGGACAGAGGAGAGTCCTGGCAGGCTGAGAGCAGCCTCAGAGGTCTTCTGGAATAGCACATGAGAAGTTACAAAGTCTACCACCCACAGCCTGCAAGGCCTTTAAGCTCATGCCACTGCCGTGTTTCTTAGAGACACACTTGGCCCTGTGCCCAAGGAAAACACTCTCCCAGCAGGCTGAGAAGCTAAGGCTTGCTGAGGGGCCACCCAGCAGCGTCTGCTTTTGATCTCAGGATGCTCTCTGCTGCCCTGGACTCTCGTCTGACAAGACCAAGTAGGGAGTTGAGCGAGAAAGTGTTTCCATGCCCTCCCCCAGTCGACTCTTCTTTGGAGAAAGATCAGGAAGCAGGAGCAGACTGATGCCCAGATCAGAAATGTGAGTGCAGCTTCAGCAGTTTAAAGGGGAGCCCCTGCCTCAGGGCAGGCCAGCATCGCAGGCTTCCGCTTTCCTTCCCAAGCCATAGGCAGAGCCGTTCCAACAAGCTGACCCTGCCCAGCCAGAACCGCTGTTTGCTCAGACTAAAGTATTGGGGGAAATTACTTGGCTAGCAGTTTAGTGTGGTAGACAGATAATCTGTACTGTTGCCTTTTAGTCTGGAACGAGCCAGTTAAATCTCAAGAAACCCTGAGGCAGAGGATAAAGAAGAAAGTTACAGAAGAGAAGATGAGTCTGTATGCATTCAGCTGTGCGGAGACTCTTCAGAATAGAAACACACCTCACCTCTCAAATGGAAGTGTGTACAGTGTATCATGGTGGTAGTAACCAAGCAGCCAGGCATACGGGCAGCGTCTGACCCTTAGTCACCTCTGTATGTACTAACTTTAGGACCCCTTTCCTAGATTATAGGCCAGGCGGACTATTGGGACTGTACACCATGTAAGACCATGTCTGTCTACTCAGATATTTTTCTGATTGAAGTGTGTAAAATTCTGAGGTGCTCAGAAACAAAATTTTTGTCTAAAAACCATGGCACTCATCATCATAGAATTCTTTTGGAGCGGTAAGTGATGACGGGTAGAGATTCAACAAGCAATTAGCAAAGCAAAGGCCTCCAGTCTGGTTCTGAGTGTCCCAGATCTGGAAAGAGTGCGCCTCTCCAGCAAAATAATTCATTAGTAGTGACTGATTTCTTAAGATTTCTGGACCTAAGAATCCTAACTGGCCTTACTCTCAGAACATTTTGGTAATATTTCAACATTTCTGGATCTAGCAGCAGAGTGTGGAAAACGAATCATCACCTGACACTGAACAGAATATTTCTTTAAACAAAAGGCTTAGTTTGCACTGGGGTGTGAAGCAGTATGGGAATGTGAGATGGTTTTGTTTTGGTTTGGTTTTTCCTTTTTCCAAGTAAGACTGCTCACTCCTACAGAAAATGACCTTGTTCTTGATAGCTGCTGCTAATTTACAGTGAGACACTAAGTTTCTACCCAATGCCACATGGGCATCCGATCCATCTACCCAGGGGCACATCACTGAAGAGCAGCATTTAGAAAAGAAAAGAAATATGGGGGGAGGGGGTTGTTTGTTGTTTTCTATGTGTTAAGAAAAACCCAGTGGTAAGCAGTTTGGGAGCACTACTTGTGAGGTTAGGATCACTAAAAACATCTTAAAGTGGCTGGGTATTTTTAGAGTAAAAAGGGAAAAGGTAAATTTTGCTGTCATGTAAAATATAACTGAGATTAGGGATAAGTGACTAAGCCAAACTCTTAAAGCAGAAAACCTGACAAGAAGAAACCATGTTGCAAACAACTTACGTAATTCCTCTGGCAAATTGCTAGTTTTTAGAGTTCCTCGGGCTAGGGGATTGCTAGGGGGTCTAGGCACAGCAGCTGGGGAGGGAGCCTGGGGACCCTGTGGTCTCAGCTCTGCAGGATGTTCCAAGGACGCCTCAGGAGCTCCAGCTCCATTAGATGGTGGGTGATAGAGCTGGTCCCTGCAAGGGAATAAGTTTACAGCCGGTTTTTATTTTCATTAGAAAGGCCAAGTTTGGGGAGACAGAAAGACTTTACAAACTGTGGACCATACCCACGCAGGAGCTCTCCCCTCTGCCTCCATTTCTTATCTGACATAGAAGGAAGAGGAGTCCCATGGAGTTGCCTCTATAAACAAGTCAGCTGGCTGCCATATGTGAGGACCTGTGCTCGGGTCAAAAGAGGGAAGCAGGATTTGATTTCTCCATTCAAGGTCTGTCTAATTGGGAAAATAAATTCCATGTACGGGTCAGACAAGGTCACCGGCAAAACAAAATAATATGATGGGTGACAGACTGCTGATATTAAAGGCATTCAGAGCAAAAAGACACAACTTTTAGCTCATGATAACATTTGCTTATGTTTCAAAAGTTTTTTGTTTTGTTTTGTTTTTTAAGCCATATAGGTTTAAAAATGTTTCTTTTAAACTCTGTCAGTGAAAGCTCTGACTGGTGACATGGTCTTTATTGTGGTTTTGCCTGCCAGCATTCCTGTGAGCAGTGTGCTGAGGGGAACAATGGCATGAACTCCTGTGAGCTTTAGAAAACAAAGGACATGCACGTCTTGTTTCTCCCGACAAATAGCCACAGGTGTGTTTTCTGCAGAAGCATCCCAGTGTCCCTGGATGTCAGGAACAAGGTATGGCATCTCTTGTGCCACTGAAACTCTAGCAGGTGTGAAGTGGCCCTAACTTCTGCATGGGTTGCAGTTGTGCTGAAGGAGGGGGCAGCCTCTTAGTGGCTCCACTCTGGATCATCCTCTGAGCCTCCTCTAGCCTCCAATTCTGTAAGCACACAGTTCCCGGTAGGAAATCCCCTCTGCCTAAAATAGCTAAGTGGGCAGGTAAGATGGCTCAGTTACAAAGGCACTTGCTGCCAAGGCTGGTGACCTGGGTTGGATCCTGGGACCTCTGTGGCGGACGGAGACAACCAACTCCCTGAGTGCTCCATCCTTGTGTGTGCCATGGCATGCACGTGTGCACACACACAGGGAAGTAAGTGAATGATTAAAAAGTAATACAGCTAGAATGGTTTCTCTCTTCTGTAACTTCTAACTGGTAGGGAAATTAAAACTATACCTATAATGTTTTCTTCCTTTTAAAAAATCGGAGGCAAATACGGCAACATGTTAAAATCAGTGTAATGGGACCGTGGGTGTCATTTGTTTCATATTGTAAAAAGTTCAATGTTATGACTGAAGTCTGTATATATGCCTAATTTTAATAGATTTTTGCTGATGTTTTTACCCAAAAGTAATTTTAAAATTCTTAAAGTCTTATATAATATGACTTAAATAAAACTTTAAAAAAATCATAAACTCTCAACTACATTTCTAAAATTAGAATGTTTAGGGAATTTCTATCTTATATTTTCATAAATATCGAGCAAATGAGGCCTCTAAAAATATACTTTCAGCTGAGATTCATTTCTTTATTATTTATATTAAATCTTTTTATACACAAAGTTGCTTCATTGTTATAAAAGATGATTACTCATTTGATAAAGAAATGTTAAGGCCTTGATAATTATACTGACTAATTTTAGGTCAACTTGACACAAACTAGAGTCATCGGAGAGGAGGGAGCCTAAACTGAGAAAATATCTTCCTAAGTTCTGGCTGTAGGCAAGCTTGTGAGGCATCTTCTTAATTAGTGACTGATGGGGGAGGGTCCAGCCCATTGTGGGTGCTGGCACCCCTGGGCTGGTCGTCCTGGGTTCTATAAGAAAGCAGGCTGAGCAAGCCACAAGAAGCAAGCCAGTAAGCAGCTCCCCTCCATGGCCTCTGCATCAGCTCCTGCCTCCAGGTTCCTGCCCTGTTTGAGTTCCTGTCCTGACTTCCTTTGATGAAGAACAGTAACATGGTAGCACAAGCCAAATAAATCCTTTCCTCCCCAAGTTGCTTTGGTCATGGTGTTTCGTCTCAGCAACAGTAACCATAACTAAGACAATCATGCTCAAAAACTCACATATAAATTTATAGGAGTGTGTCTTGCTATGAAGTCCCATGTTACTTAGTTCCCTTATTTAAACTGTGTATTTTGGAAAGTGAAGGGTCTGTCTGGAAGGAACTACAGAGACTTGTGGGCCTTGCGGTGAGGAGAAGCAGACTTGGGTCTTGTTTGCCACTCTTAATAAAACTGACTTTTCTTTTTTCCCTTTGAATAAAATTTTTTGGCTAATTGCCAATTTCTTTATCTCTGAAAAACCCACTTTAATAGGATTTTCAGATGTGATTCTGGTCTATAAAAACAGAATGCAGTTTTACTTTGCGTGCTATGTGAAAGTTGTACTTGAAAAGAAGCAAACATTTCATATTCTTTCTTTCCAATTTTGTTCTAAAACAGGAAACTCCACTTGCTCCTGTGTATTTTAGACACACAAGAGAAAAGGTAACCTTGAAGAAGAATTTGAAAAATAAAAACGGTAAGAAGAAAAACCACTAAGGGATGGACTCAAGTACAGTGTGAGCCTGCGCCCTGAGGGTGGGTTGGCGGTGCATGGTCCTTAGTGTGGCAGCACGTTGGAAAGAGCTGGGGAACCTTTGAGATGGGCTTGACTTCAGGTCAGGTCTGGTGAGAACTGAAATAGAAGAACAAGCCCAAAGTTTGGCACAGTAGTGCATGCTCTTTAGGAGACTAACTCAGGACGGTAACAAATTTGAAGCCAGCAAGGGTGACAGAGAGAGTTTGAAGCCAGGTTGAACTACTGTGTTAGAATCTGTATTAAAAAAAATTAATTGCAGCCGGGCGGTGGTGGTGGCGGCGGCGGCGGCGGCGGCGGCGCGCACGCCTTTAATCCCAGCACTCGGGAGGCAGAGGCAGGCGGATCTCTGTGAGTTCGAGGCCAGCCTGGACTACCAAGTGAGTTCCAGGAAAGGCGCAAAGCTACACAGAGAAACCCTGTCTCGAAAAACAAAACAAAACAAAACAAAACAAAAAATTAATTGCTAGGCGGTGGCTCACGCCTTTAATCCCAGCACTCGGGAGGCAGAGGCAGGCGGATCTCTGAGTTTCAGGCCAGCCTGGTCTCCAGAGTGAGTTCCAGGACGGGCTCCAAAGCTACACAGAGAAATCTGTTTCGAAAAACAAAAACAAAAAAAGGAAAGAGGGGAAGCCTGGTTCCCTCCTTGGCTTCTCTCTCTTCATATCATGCCATCTTACCCTCTACCTCACACTCCTGTGTGATGCTATCTGCCATGAAGGTGACATAGCCAGGAGGGCCCCTTATCTTGGACCTTTGAGCTAATGAAATATTTTTTGTCTGTCAAGCACCCAGCTTCAAAGACCTTGTTATACCAGCGGGAAATGGACCAAAGCACAGGGTTAGTTAAGACAAACTTTTGAAAACACAGCATTATTTTTCTGGAAGAAGCAGAGGAGGGATCAGTTTGTATGGATGGTTTTATCGCAAAAGAAATAACTAGGAACCAGATGTGATGGTGCTAAGAGAGCCTTGTCAACCACTTTCTCCAGGCCTCTGACCTGAAAGTTTATACTGGGTATTTCACTGTGTGGCTGCGCTGACCTAGGGTCAGGCCTACAGACGCTCGCCATGCGTCTTTGTCACCCTGACAATCCGTTTCATGTCAGGATGTGTGGGGATGGCTCCTGCCATCCTCATACCTTGGGAGCCTTGGGAAAGAGAAGTCTCTCTGTACAGGTCTCTCTCCTTGGTCCTGGGGGTTGGGGTAATTCAGGAACACCTTCTGCACAGGATACAGGCCTCTCACCCTTGCCCCAGGAAGGACCTGCCCAGGCAGAGCAGGCTGGATGACTTGCTGGTAGGCTGTTGGAGGGTAGCCATGAGCATCTGTGGGTGAACAAGGAAATGGCAGAGAAGGTTGATTTGACTCCAGCTCGTGCAAGCCATAGGCCATGCAAGCTCACTGAACAGTTTTCTCCTGATAGCAATTCAGGCTCCAAATATCAACCCACCTCCATGTATTTGCCATATTCTGTACTACTAATTACTTCACAATATTCATGAAACTGATACACTTTTTTTTAATGTAAAAACATCTGTGAAATCACATGTTTGACATTCTAGTTAGAACACTTAAGGAATTTTTTAAAGTCCTGTTTGAATAAGATACTTAGGATAATTCTTCCCTGAAGAGCCTCTCTCACACCATTGTTCCTACCATATTTCCACACTGTCTAAAACCTGAGGCTAGGAGAAACCATCCTTGTGATAGACTTAAGGTCTGTGCTGGACTGCATGTGGTATTGCATGCTTTAATCCCAAACTGGGAGGCAGATCTCATGTGAGTTCAAGGCCAGCTTGGTCTACATACAGAGACCCCCCCCCCCAAAAAAAAAAAGTTACTATTTTTCCCATCACCACTAAGTGGACACACACACACACACACACACACACACACACACACACACACACACACTCCCACTCTGCTCCCTCTTAGGAAGAAGTAAAGGAGTGAAACCTTGGCTCATCCTCTGGGAAGGAGCCAGCAACCCCCTTTAACTTCCCATTCTGTCTTGTTAAAGCCCATGTGCACTTGGCCCCAAGACAATAGAAAAGATAAGGAATGGGAGGAGTGAGGAGAGGGCTCCGTCCACGAGGTATTTGCTGTGTAATCTGAGGACCTGAGTTCAAGCCTCCCACATACATATAGTTGGTCATGGGGCAGCACATGCCCAGTGCTAGGGAGGCAGAGGCAGGAGAATCCCCGGGGCTCACTGGCTAGCAGTGGACTGCTGGTTCAGTGACAGGTTCTCTCTCCAAAGATAAGGTGGAGAGTGATTAAGAAAGACATCTGTAGCCAAACGAATGGAAACACATGAACTATGAACCAATGGCTGAGGGGTCACCAACTGGATCAGGCCCTCTGAGTGGGTGAGACAGTTGATTGGCCTGATCTGTTTGGGAGGCATCCAGGCAGTGGGACCGGGTCCTGTGCTCATTGCATGAGTTGGCTGTTTGAAACCTGGGGCCTATGCAGGGTTGCTTGGCTCGGCCTGGGAGGAGGGGACTAGACCTACCTGGACTGAGTCTACCAGGTTGATCTCAGTCTGCAGGGAAGGCTTTGCCCTGGAGGAGATGGGAATGGGGGGCGGGCTGGGGGGAAGGTGAGGGGGGTGGGAGGGGGGAGAACAAGGGAATCTGTGACTGATATGTAGAACTGAATTGTATTGCGAAATAAAAAAAAAGAAAAAAAAAAAGAAGGACATCTGGCATGTACCTCTAGCCTCTACATGCATATGCATGTACACACACACACACACACACACACACACACACACACACACACACAAACATACACACAAACACATAAACATAAAAAATTAGCTATTTTTTAAAAGAGCAGGGATTAGAGCAAAGCCAGGTTGGCAGGGACTGATGTGAACGTGTAACTTGGGAGAAAGTTGGTCCTAGGAAACCCCAGAGTAACGGAGTCCCAAGAGAAGGCCAGCTCAGCTGACGAGGTAAAAGAATTAAAGAAAAAATACTGGGCCAGGAGACATGGCTCAGCAGTTAAGAGTACTTGCTGTTCTTCTAGAGGACTTGAGTTTGGTTCCCAGCACCCAGGTCAGGCAGCTAACAGTGACCTGGAACTCCAGCTCCAGAGGATCCAGCACCCTCCTGTGGCCTTTAGAATACTTGTGGTATAGATTCACACAGACACATACTCATAAGTAAAAATTTTAGAAGAGAGCTGTAGAGGAGGGATACAAGGACCCAGCAGGGGTGAGAGAGAAGGGCTATGAAGGTGTTACACAGCCTAAAGGGTTACAGTTGGGAAACCTGAGAGGTGCATGGGGACTGGAGATGACCAAGTATTAAGCTCTCAAAGAGGAGCCAAGAGTCCCCTCAGAACCCAGGCTGTCACCTCTACTCAGGTCAGAAGCATGATGAGCCAGGAAACACAATCAGTTAGGGCAGAAGCATTTTTATTTAAAAAAATTATCATTGGTTTTAAATCCTTGCCCAATTTATAGAAGTCATAGTTCTGTTGCTCTGCCAGGGTAATATATGTGAGGGAGACCCAGAGAAATAAAACAGTAAAGAAGCAAGAAAGTGACATAACATTCTATTGCAGTAAGGAGTCCCGCTGCATGGTCAGGTCGCTGCTCTTGACCGCCTCGCCCAGTTGAGGTACCAGGACGGGGAGCATGGCACTGGCCTGAGTTTGGTATGCCGTCAGAAGCCTGGACCACGTTTAAGGAATCATTCAGGGGAATGACAACGTCAGCACAGAAGAGCAAACAACTAATCTGTGTGTTTACTAGTGTGGCTACCTCCAGGTCTCACTGCTGGACTCGGAACCCTGGCTGATGACCCTGGCCATTGACTCAGGCTAGTCTCGCATGCCTGGGCGAACTCCCCGGGGCCGTTCACTGTTTGCCTTGACCCTCCTATCAGCTGTATCCTTCCTCTCATTCTTCCTCTTGAAAAAGTGACCGCGCACCTCCAGCGCAGGCTGTCTACACATGACCCTTGTCCTGCTAGCGTTCAGCCCTGACCATTGCAAATAGAAGGTTTGAGGAAAGGAGGAGACAAGGAGATGAACGGGATTTGCCTGGGCCTGTCCCCACATGGGGCTGACAAAGGAAACCAGGACTTGGAGGGGAGCTCTAAGAATGGGGAGACAAGACCATGGAGACGTCTATGGTCTAGAACAAGGTCCACCACTAAGGCTTTGCTTTGGCAGCCTTCTTAGAACGGGCCAGGTAGATCCCAGGACGTCTAGATCGCCCATGGGAATTGCAGGGCAACCAGGCAGGTCACTACTGCTGCTCAGGCTAAAAAGGGACAAAAAGTGGTCCTGCCATCCCGTCACCAGGCAGGTCACCAGCCCAGCCCACCTTTAGATTAGCTTTGCATGGGTTTAGAAGCAGCTATACCTGTAATCCTCCAGCATCTACTGCACTAACATTCAGCCTGCGTGGCCAGGTCCCTGTGGTTGATCTCATCTCCCACAACACTGTCGCAGGCTTATCATGGCCCACCTTCATCTTGAATACCCTAAGCTGGTCCCCACCTCCGGGATCTGAGCTTACATCTTCTGGATGCAGAAAGATTTTGCCTTAGATCGTCACAGATCAACTACTACGTGGCTCTTCTGGCCTGCTGAGCGAGGCCCACCCTCGCTGAGCTGCCTTCTCCCTTCCCCGTTTTCATCCCCTCATCATAGGAAGGGTTTATAAGAACAGGGTGCAGGGGGGCTTTGCCACCACTCACCAAGCACAGTGGGCTGCGCATTTGACTAGCTGTAACTCTCAGAGGCAGCCCTCAATAAATGAGGATGGAATAGTTAGTCACAAAGCCAACTTACACATGGAAGAGGAACCATTTTGGACTGCAGAGCCTGCTTGCTTAAGTCTCGGTTTGCTAAACTACCTCCTTCTTGTCTGCTGTTCTTCGTCTTCTTCTTCTTCTTTTTTTTTTTTAATCAGTTTTGCCCTCCAGAAATGAGAGGCAAGGTCAAAGAGGAGAAACTGCCAGGGCCTTGAAAGCTTTTTCAAGGGAGATGCTGGAAGTAAACTCAAGTGAAGTTTTCACTGTTTAGAGCCATTTTTTGCTCCCCATCTCCATTAATGAATGGCTAATAACATTTTATTTGCTTTAAAAGGACTAGCAAGCTCTAATCATAGGGTGTGCTCCTCTTCCAGAAGGCGGATGTTAGTGCTGTTAATCAAAAGCCTTTGAATCAAGGTCAGATGATTGCGAGCAGATTATTTCCCTGCACAACATGTTTTTGTCTCATAGCAACAAATCGTATCATTAAAATCACCAAGCACATGGGCTGAGCATTTGACTAGCTGTAACTCTCAGTTCTGAAACGGCCACCTGTGGTAAAAAGTTGCACCAGTGGATATGAGCAGATGAAAATGATCCACCTCGTTGGTTTTTAAGTTCGAGTCCCAACAATCTAATGTTCAAAACAAGGACTGAATACCACAAGGTCAACCAAAGTAAGCCTTTCCTTCTGTATGTGGAACCTGGGCCGTTTTTGCTGGGAAATTTGGCTAGTTGTATAGAAAAGTCAAATTAGAAAGTAAGTTTATTAGGTAAATAACCAGCTTTGATTGTGTCGATTTGCACAAGTACATACACACACGCGTGCCTGGAGGTCAGAGGACAATGTGTGAGAACTGGTCCTCTCTTTCCGCCGTGTGGGTCCCCGGGGTCAAACAGGTGTCAGGCTTAGTGGCTGGCACCCTTACCCACTGAGCCTTACTGCCAGACCTCATTGCTCAACTTGTAATCATTCTCTTCCCCTAGCATGACCAGGCCTTGCTAGCTCCATGCTGAGGACTGGTCTAGGCGCTTTACTCAGGATGACAGAGTTAGATTTTCTGTTTCCCGGAAGGAATAGTCTGACTCAGAATGGAATCCAGGCCTTGCATCCTGTCTTCTCTGGCATATCACTCTCCCTGCCCCACCTCCTCTGGCCCACGGCCTTGTTCTCGGCACCTTAGCAACATCAGTCTCCTTGCCTCTCTGGCATTCTCATTCTTTAGTTTTCAGCTCAACTGTCCATTCAGTGAGACCCACTCTGGCTGCCTGCCTATGAACAGCCGTTCCAGCCCCTGGCTAGTTCCTTTATGGCATATATGCCTTTGTCACGGTGTGTGCATATTTCTACTTCCTTTCTGTCTGCTCACCTGTGTCTGGTACTATCTATGCAGTGCTATCTAGCAGATAACATGGCAAATTTTACTTAGTAAATTGATAAATGAACGGGCAAGTTCTATTTACAAGTTCACGGTCCTCCCTTCTTTCCTTACCCACCACACAATTAAAGATGGCCTTTCGAAGACTTGATGTCACAAAAATCTCGACCAATCATGAGAGGTCTCTCCCTTCCCCAGAAGGTAGACTCTTCTTTTTACTCATTCAACAAATATTTATAGACCCTCTACTCCCAGGCACATAGTGAACCAAGATAAATGTGGTACAGTTCCCTTATGCAGCTCAAGATAAATAGAGACAGGGAGAAATCTGTGTGTCTGTAGGTGTCTGTTTTTCAACACAAACCCACACTAGTCAGTGTGTGAGAAGGGAAGGCATACAAATCAGCAGCCACCTACTTGAGAATCGCTGCTCAAAAAATAGCTTCCCACAGACTTCTCTCCTATGCCTAAAATTCCATCAAGGGAGTTTATTCTGTAGGAGATGGAAGGTGGGTGATGTGATAGACAAATGACTTGCTAGCATAGTAACTCCTCGGTTCCGAGGCAGCGTTGAGCACAACATGAAAACAGCAAAAATGAAAAGCTTGCACAATCTTAAATGAGCACCCAGCACCGAGTGCTGTTTGTCAGCCTTGTGAGCCACTTGGCCTCAGTACAGACAGTTTTCATGTCACTGGGCTCTTACCACTTGGAATTGTAAACCAAGCCTGAAATGAGGTTTTCCATGTATCAGGGAAAACAGTCAACATTTTTCTTCCTTATTAAGAATGGTAGTAAAAGAGCTTATGAGGGAGAAAATAAAATTGGATTTTCAAGTTGTCAAAAAACATCATGATAAAATGCAATCAGTTTAGCCAGGAAACAAAATGGCCAACATAAACTGTTAGAAGAACTCGCACAGCTGTAAGCAGCTGGGACTCCTGCAAGGCAACTCCTTCCTTTATCATTGCTTCCATCTGGTTTATTTTTCCTTGCTTTAACTGTGCATGCATTCTAGCATACAAACAGTCACATGCACCCTCTTTCCCCCCAGCCCGCTTTGGTCCATGGGAGCATGTGCCCACATGCCGTATTCTGTCTCCTTAATAAAGAAAACAAAAACTGTATAAAGCATAAGGGCTCATTAGATCTCAGTCCGTCTTTGGCCCAAAGAGATTTGTGTTGTGGGCTTGATTGGCTTGCTTACACAAGCTTCATCTGGTGACCTTCAGCGGAAGGGTTCTTAAGACAACAGAGGCCAACTTCCGGAGCTGTACTGAAGAAAACTGTAGGTTGTTTCAGCTCTTGTTTTCATTTGCTTTGGACTTTTTTTTTTTTTTTTTTACATGAAAAAGGTGACCAGTAACGTTACTTTTGCTTTAACTTGCAAAATGCAAAGACACACCATTTGCATGGTGATCATTATTTATTTATCTATTCATTAACAGGCAAGGAAGTAATGCTCTTCTAAAGCTGAGTCGAGCCACGTAGCCATGGTTTCCAGTGCACAGCCTCCCTCAGGTGAACAGCTCTTTTGAAGTGGTTTTGTTGGCAATTAAGTGCAGTTATAACCCTGACATGCAACTGCGAATTTGTATATCTGTCCTGAATGTCTAAAATCCATGCCAGCAAGAGGGATCTGAAAGTGAAGGTGTCTTCTACAGTGCTGGGCGGTGGGATCCATGTCCAGACCACAGGAAAACTAAGAGCAGCCAGTGCTGAGAACCTGCTAGCAGTCAGTCACTTTTCCTAGAGCCTTCAATATCATCTCATCTAGTCCTCGGAGCACCCTCCCAGGAGCCTTTCTCCTAGGACCATCATTAATATTCCAGGGCTGCAGTGTCCTGCAGAGAACCTTAAGCACTCGGCCACCCCGATACCTTCCCTGTGGTTAGGGCTCCCAGGAAAGGGGGTCAAGGATATGCAGCATGAACTAAGGCATGCTCAGGTTTTATGCATTCTTTTTTCTTCCTTTCGATTTTTATTTATCTTTTAATTATAGGAATGGTTTGCTATTTAAAGTTAGCAAAACTATATAAGATTACAAGGGAAAATACCCCTGTTCCCTCTTAACCCTTACTCTCTCTCCTGTTAATAACTGGTGCAATCCTTCAGGACTTTTAAAGGTGTATATAAACATATGTTGTTTCCTTTTGAATAAACATGTATGGGATCAACTCTGTATCTTGCTTTCTGCCTTAATCCTTTTTATGTCAGAATATGTACACTGTTTATGCTATACAACGGGGAACAAGTAGACCACTTGAATAAATAAATCATAGCATGCAGGTGCTCTTCAGCCTATGTTAATCTGTGTCTCAATACACTCATTATAAACTGAGATGGCAGGTTGAAGTGTATTTACTGTACCTAACGCCCTCAGCATCATTACCTTTGCCGCAGAGCACCCTGCGACTGATGTGCTGTTTCCCCCCAGATCTGGAGCTGACCATGCACTGTGGCTCCCTCCGGTCTCTGTCCAATCCATCATTTCATCCTGAAGTTACACTCTTGAATCAGGGGTCAGCTCTACTGCTCTGGCCCTTTAGTCATAGACAGTTGGTTTTTTTACTTTCATACAATGTTTTGCTTAAATACGTTGTTTATTTGTGTGTGCGTGCATGTGCATGCATACACAGAGGCCAGAAAAAGAGCATCGGATCTCTTGGAGCTTGTGATGTGGGCGCTGGGATCGACACTCTGTTGTTCTGGATAGAGCAGCAAGTACTCTTAATCTGGGAGCCATCTCTGTGGCCACTAACAGTGTTTGGTTTTAGGATTTGAGATTTTTTTCTTTTTAATAGTTTTTTAAAAATAACACGTGTGTCAGCATGTGTGTTTATGCATTTGAGGGCAGGTGCCCCCAGAAGCCAGAGGCATCAGATCCCCCTGCAGCTGCAGCCGTAGGCCATTGTGAGCTGCCTGACATGGGTACTGGGAATTGAACTCAGGTCCTGCAAGAACAGCACACGCTCTTAACTGCTGAGCCATCTCTCCAGAGCACAGTGTTTTAATAAACATGTGTCTGTGTATATTTTTATTTGTTTGGTGTTTCTATAGGATATACTACTGAAAGTAAGACTGATGTCCAAAAGAGAGGACTCAAAAACTTGTGATAAATAATGAAACTGCCTTCCAGAATTGCACCAATTCCTGTTCTTACCAAAAGTGTCTGAACTGTTCGTTGTCCTATACCCACTAACACTGAGCCTGTGCAGGGTTTTTATTTTGGCATCCATCATTACATAAAATGTATTGTTTCTTTCTTTTTTAATTAGTGTGTGTGTGTGTGTGTGTGTGTGTGTGTGTGTGTGTGTGTGTGTGTTTGTGTGTACACTGTATACACATATATGTGAATGCAGGTGTCCTTGGAGATCAGGGTATTGGATTGCCCTGGGGCTGAGTTACAGGCAGTTGTGAGCTGAGAACTGAACTCAAGTCCTCTCTAAGCAGCAAATGCTTTGAACCACCGACCCATTTCTCCAGCCTTGTTTGTGGCACAGGTCTCATGCGCATTTCAGCTCTTTGTATTTTGTATGTGAAGCACTCCCATGACCAGCCCAGGTTCTCTTCTGTCTGTCTTTCTTCATCTCTCCGCATTCTTAAGATCAAAGAGTCCCTTCCAACCCCCTTCAACAGAAAAAAATAATACAGAGAGCAAGGGGAAGGTGAACCGGTGACAGAAAGCTAGCTCTTAGGCATGAGAGATGAAGTGTCCCCATTTGGTCATGTCTGCCTTAAAGGAGGCTGCCCAAGGGGGCAATGCTTACCTCCAAAGGCTTCAACAGGAAAAAAACTTTCCAGTGGGAAGATCTTCCTGGACTCTCATTATCAGAGTCAATGCTGTTTTGCTATCGTGATGAAGCAATCTCCTGTCTGCTTGGGACTTGCAAGGCCTTTGACTAAGTGTTCACACTTCTGCATCTTTATCTAAGGGGTTAATCAGAAATGCAGATAAAAATGTTTGTCATAGTATTGATTATTAGACCAGAAAACTGGAAAAACTTTAAATGTCTGACAACAGAGGACAAGTTAATGATAACTTAGCAATATATCTAATGAAATACAATTCAGCATTTAAACATTTTATCTAGTTTTTACATTTGTGTGTGTGAGTGGTGTGTGTGCCCGCTCTCTTGGGTGCCACAGTGCACATGTGGAAGCCAGAGGACAGTTTGCAAGATGTCTCTCCATCCATCATGTGGGTCCCAGGGATGGAACTCAGGTTTCAGGCTTGGCCGCAAGTCCCCTTAATCACTGAGCCATCTCGCTAGCCCAATTCAACATTTTAGAACATTGCTGGAAAAAGTACACTCAGTGTCATTGGAAAGGATTTTATATTAGATATGCATGCAAATATATCTATAAAAACAAACCCACTGGAGGTAAATGTATCACAATCCTGATAGGGAATTCTATTTGGGTAAAGGAAATATCTACCCACATACTGCTGTTATCAGAAAAAGTATCTCTACAGGCAGATAAGTAGAATTTCAACAGCTTTTAAAACTAACCTGGAGACTTCTGAGAACTAAACACAACATCTGCTTACCAAAGTTAAGTTCTCAGTGACTCAGACTTAAGCAATCCACCACACCTGTGCTGTGGTTGGCACTCAACTGGCACCCGGTCCCGCCCACATGCTCTGCCAACCCTGATGGGAAAAGACCAGGGAAAGGAAGGACCCAGAGAGAAGCCCCAAGGACTAGGACAAACGAATTTTCTAGAAATCAATCAGCATCTTCTCTCTGCCTCGAGGCAGGTTTCAATGGCTCAACAGAGGGATCCACTTGGTCCTGAAAGTTTCCTACAGGGAGATTTAGGTGAGAGGGGGCCTGGGCCAAGAAAATGCTTCCTAGTAAGGCCCCCTGGCAAACGAACTGCATGTTCACACACCCTGCCCCTGAGAACACTCTCCCTTACTGCTAGTCTGGGGACACTGGCAGTGCTGTGAGGCCCCGTTTCTTCAGTCCCTAGCCCGGAACGTCCAGAAGCCCAGAAGGATAAAGATCACTTACATGGCGCCTGGTGATAGGGCCCTCCAGGGCACTGATATTGATAGTTCCATGGAGCCTGTGGGGAAGGATTGAGAGGCAGCCTCTGCGCATGTGCTGGATGCCTCTGAAGTTCAAACTGAGGGAACTCCCTGGACCTCAGAGGCCCAGGAAGGTCCTGCAGGTAACATGTGGAGGTGAGGGGCAGCGGCCTCTCCAGCTGCCTGATGCCCAGGACGTCTTGGGGCTGGGAATCATATCCGGTGTCTATTGTGGGCACATCTGCGGCTGCTCTGTTCCTGGGGGGCCGGGGCCGAGGTATCGTCTCTTGGCCACCACTGGAGGAGTCTGCCAGAGCATTAGGTAAACTTGGGTCCGATTTGTCTGAGTCGTGGCCAGTGTCGGGAGAAGCTGCTGAAAGCTGAGATCCCAGCCGTCTATGGCGTTTTTCCATAAGTGAAAACCGGTACCCTGGAGGGAGGGCTCCCAGCACAGACTCAGACTCAGGCTCGCTGGCTTCGGACGAGCAGGAGCAAAGCCCTTTGCCAGAATCGGGGTGCCTTCTCAAGAAACTGGCTTCACTCTCCTCCAGGACTTTAGTGCGCAGGCAGGTGACCTGTTGTGACACAGGCTGGTGATTTGCAAGTTTCAGGGGAGGGTGAGCCTGACAAAGGTCCCCTGAAGCAGGGTGAGGGGCTTGGAGTGCAGACAAGCTGCTGGGTGCCATGTTCCTTGTATTTGGAGCAGGTGGTTCCAATTCCTCTTCCAGGGAATATTCTGGAATTGGTTTCAGTAATTGACTTGGGAACGGTTCTGATTCGTCAACCTCCACAGGAATGCTTCGGTTCATTCTAGTTTCTGGAACAAGAGAAAACATGCCACAGTCTCAGAAGATAGATCAGTGCTTGGAGTCCCCATTTTATGACCTTAAAGGACCTGGTTCAGGATGTGGTTTAAATTAACAGTGGTGTGACACCACTGTGTCTGCAGGGCCCGATCACAGAAAGTTGTTTACTTCTCCATTCCGGGCAAAGGCACTAATGTTTACGAAGATATTTGATCTGGAAGGCAATTGAAGAAACATGACCAGATGTCGTTGTGTGGCAGGAACTGCTTACCAGCAAGGGGAAACCATGGGTGAACATCAACTGCTACAAACTGAGGAGAGAGAAATGATCAGAAAGTGGCTGCTTTGTGTGTTTGGAATGCATGATGAAAAAAAAATCCCAGGAACTGATGTGGAACAATCTCCAGGACACACTGTTGATTGTTTTTTTAAAAAGTGAGAAACAGGACACTGTGTGTATGAGACTGATACTGCGTGTACGAGAAGCACAGAGGACTAGATGCATGTGGCTATGTGTGCATGTGTGTGATGTACACACACACAGGCTAAGGGAAGAGAGGAGTGTGATGAAGAGTTTGACCTTTTGAACTTAAATTTTGTATATTTTTTTATCCCACTTGGCTATTGCTTCATAACACTAAATAAACTTAAAAACTAAACTTAATAACACTAAATAAAAGTTTCTTAGAAAAAGAAAGCACAAGCTTAAACACATTGAAACAGGTCATAGTGACATTTTCCACTTAACAACTTGGGTCATTTGGAGGATGTATTTACCTCTGGGCACCGTGCCTGTAACGAAGGTAGCCATGACTAAAGGCTTGTCAAGCTCCCCCCTTGGCCCCCAGAGCAGAGCCCAGGATCCAAGCAATATTGCTTTTATCTCTCAAAATCGACTTAGCACAATGGGGAGGGGGAGACGCTTCTCTTGTCTGTCGAATCATTAGCTAGTTGCTGTGATGCCCAGCTGCAGGGCAAATGGAGGAAAGCCTGGGAAATGGGGTGCTGTAGGGACCCTGGGGGTTCACAGGAGGCCACAGAGCAAGTGTTGTAAGAGAGCAAGTATGTGCGGGAAATCCCAGTGGTTGATTCTGCAGAGGCCCTTTGTACACAGCACACTTCAAATGCTAGAGAGAACAAGGCTGTACGCAGAGTTTTAAATTCCGACTTGGGATCCTTGTAGCCTTTCAACCACCACGGTGTACTGAGAGCCTACCGTGCCGAAAGTCGCCCAGGACATACATGATTGTTCTAAGACAGCTTTCAGAGACTAGGAATTTGCAGTCCCTGACACCCCGCCCACTGCAGTAAAAGAAGAGCATGCACTGCCGTGTTCCCCTTTCACAGAGCAGGCCAGCAGTTTGCTTGTAGGTGGAACCCAGGGCTTTTCACAGAGCAGGCAGACATCGGCTACTGAGCTGGAGCTTTGGTGCCTATCCAGTGGGCTTAACTGTCTACAGAAAGCCAGGCACATTAGCACATGCCTATAATTGCAATAATTAAGGAGGCTGAGGCAGGAGAATCATTTAAGCTGAGGAGCAAAACCCATCTCTCACTCCCTTGCTGCTGCAATCCTTGTACTCTTCCTGGCACACGGGATGCTTCCAGCTGCCCTTAGCCTCCCCTCCCAGGCTGTTGTACGCGTGCATCCCTTGGAAGAGATCCCACCCTCTAACTTGGTTAGAACTTGTGAAAATGACGAAGAACCTACCAAAGATAAAAAGGAGCCCAACATTTTACTGTCTTTAGATGCACACCGTCCTTTTCCTGTTATCCTTATCATTTGTCCACAGCTACAAAACGGGATACACTCTGCAACATGCTCTTCCATGTCTCCCCAGGGTGGCTCAGTGCTGTGTGATCGCCTGCAAGCATCCGTGAGCCCGCAGATGAGTGCGAGGGTGAGCAGGGGTGGCCAGCCAGCCAGCTAGCAAAAGGGTGACATTCTGCCAGCTCTTGTCACGTGATTCACATCCACTGCTCAAATTTCAGACACTCCAGGTGCAAATGTCTCTAGTCTCCCCGGGTTTTCAAATGTGGACATCTGAGGAGTACTTCCTACCAAAAGCAAAGTTTCGGATTTGACTCTTCTAGCTCAGAGGTCTGCCAGGGGCTATAAGGAGGCTAATATCACAGGTGACAAGTATGGCCGTTTCATAGGACTTAGAACTGGTCTGGAAAGGGCACATGGCCCCTCAAGTGATAATAAATAAACCTGTCCTGGCAATGAAAACCCTCTCAGTAAACCTGTAGGGTCAGTAATCACTACAAGATGAAAATGGACTCTGAGGGTTTAAATACACAGACAGCAAGCCCTTCCTCCACAGTAGTAACCTGCCCCCAAAGCATAAGCCCAGTGACAATTGCTTTTGAAATACCTACAAGTAATGCAGATGAAAGAGGATGAAAGACTAGTAGACAGTGAAAGCTCATCACAGTATTCCTAAAGAGCTGGACAGCATGTGCCACCTGCAAGTCACCTGATCCCATCCAAGAGAAAGCACGCAGGGAGGCAGAGGACCTACCTCAGGGCCTTTGCACTCACTGCTCTCTTAGAATACTTTTCTCTCCGAATACTGCACAGTTCCCTTCCTTTCTCCTCAAAGGTCTCTCTTCAACTGCGCCTTCTCAGTGAGGTCCCCCGGGGCCCCCTTAGTAAAGCGTTTCCACTCTCCCCTCTCTTCCATCCCCCTTCTCTGTTTTTCCGTCCTCTCCAGCAATTATTACCACCTTCCATATTCCACCAAGATATATAATGTAAATATTTAATCCTGTTTGCGTCCAAGGTATAATTTCATGACACATGACTTGTCAGGCTTCTACCCACAGTCCTAGACTCAACACCTATGACCACACCTGGTGCTAGCAGACGCTCAGTGAAGATTGCTGACTGAATAAATGATCGCTGTCTACTGTACGGCAGTGCTTTGTAACTGGGTGGGTCGCTGGCAGGGTTGCCATCTGTAGACATGGAGCCTCCCAGCTCTGGCCCTGGTCAGAAGTGGGAGAACGTGGTCAGCCCTGCCCAGCCTCCCTGGCAGTCACAGGGGGCAGATGCACATAGATTAGAGAGGTTTATCAAAGATGCAGTTTTAACTGCGGTAAGACGTCGTAAAACTATTGTTCTTGAAAAACAACCCAGTATCTCGCCAGGGCTAACCATCTCCACTTTCCTTGTTCTCTTCTAGGCTGGCTCCCTGTTTTATTCATGTGACTCTCACCCTGCTATGGCCTGCACTCCAGTCCCTGACACAAGGCAAGTCTAGACTGATGCAGAAAATCCCTGCTCAACTAGCCTTGACCTTGGAGAAAGCCCCTGACCTCTGATCGGACAGAAAGTCTTGCAGCCAGCACCTGGGAGCCCTGGAGCCTGCATGGCTGGGGCCGCTCAGCAAGTCTGCAGAGCCGAGCCTTGTCGGAGCTGAAGAATAAGAGCACGTCTGCTACACTGTGGCCCACTCTGAGGAAAGGGAGAGGCTAGGAGGAAACCTGGTGGGTGGGGTTCTGGCTGGGACGCCTCTGGAATTCTCAGGGCAGATGCCAGGCCCAGCTTAGAGACCATGCTGGGCAGGGCTTCCATGCCTGATTCTTGAGTCCCTCGGGTGAACAGATTCTCCCTTGCTTTGCCAAGGGGAAAGAAAGGACTGTCAGGATTCTAAGTCTGTGCCCCTCGACAGAGTCATTTCACGTCTAAGAACTTCCTCTCCAGAGAAGTGCGCATATGGTGCCAAATGAAGTCTATAAAGACAGGTGAGGCCGCAAAGACTCTGCGTTTCAAAAGTGTTGTGGATCTGGACAGTGAGCACTCCATCTTTTCACAAATAATGGGGAAGTGCCATGCCAGTGGAAGTGGGAAGAGCTCCAACTGTATTTTTTTTTTTTTTTTAGGTTTTCCGAGACAGGGTTTCTCTGTGTAGCTTTGCGCCTCTCCTGGAACTCACTTTGTAGCCCAGGCTGGCCTCGAACTCACAGAGATCCGCCTGCCTCTGCCTCCCGAGTGCTGGCATTAAAGGCGTGCGCCACCTCCGCCCGGCCCAACTGTATAATTAAGTTTAAAAAAAAAGAAGTCATCGTGCCACATGGCTGTGACGTAAGACCACATGGCTCTCTGTGACGTAAGACCGGACATGTGCCACATGGCTGTGACGTAAGGCCATACATGTGCCTGTCATCTTCTAGAGACTAGAATGGTGGTTATCTCTGGGAAGGGAGCAAGTGGGACTCACTTCCCAGAACAGCCTGCCCCTTTCCTAATTTGTACTGAGTGTGTATCTACCTGTCAGACCCTCTCTGTTAGAGATGTAGACTCCACCACTGACCTGGTGTTCACAAAGATGAAGAACCAGTGCCAACCGTGACTCCCACTCCACCTCCAGGAGACGGTGAACTCCTTAGATACAAAAAACAGTAACGGAGTGCCCACTGGGGCTGGCTTGAGCTGCAAACAGAGGTTAGGTACCAAACAACTGACTGCCACAGAGGAGAATGACTGCCACAGAGGAGAATGACTGCCACAGAGGAGAATGACTGCCACGGAGAATGACGGCCACGGAGAATGACGGCCACGGAGAATGACGGCCACGGAGAATGACGGCCACGGAGAATGACTGCCACGGAGAATGACGGCCACGGAGAATGACGGCCAGGGAGAATGACTGCCACGGAGAATGACTGCCACAGAGGAGAATGACTGCCACGGAGAATGACTGCCACGGAGAATGACTGCCACGGAGAATGACTGCCACAGAGGAGAACGACTGCCATGGAGAACGACTGCCACGGAGAACGACTGCCACGGAGAATGACTGCCACGGAGAATGACTGCCACAGAGAATGACTGCCACGGAGAATGACGGCCACAGAGAATGATGGCCACAGAGAATGACTGCCACAGAGGAGAATGACTGCCACAGAGGAGAATGACTGCCACAGAGAATGATGGCCACGGAGAATGACTGCCATGGAGAATGACTGCCACAGAGAATGATGGCCACGGAGAATGACTGCCACG